GCCGGGAACCGCCACGGCCCCCCCCGCGAGAGACGCGGCGGGTCGGCGCAGGGGGCGGCGCGGAGGGGCCGCAGAGCCCTGCTCAGGCGCCGAGGCCGCACGAGGCTTCCGCAGGGCTGTTCTACGCGCGAGCTTCTGGCGCGCCCTTAGGAAACTCAACTGGATAAAGCTTTGCTAGACTTAAATCTCTGGTTTCCGTGTGTATTTTAAAGACCAAGAGGATCCCTGGCTGGTGCAGCTCAGGGGACTGAGCGTGGCCGGCGAACCAAAGTGTTGCTGGTTCAGTTCCCAGTCAGGGCCCAGGTCTGGGTTGCAGGCCGGGTCCCCCGTGGGGGACGCGTGCGAGAGGCAACCACACAGTGATGTTTCTCTCCTTTTTCTCCCTCCCTTCCCTTCTCTGTGAAAATAAATAAATAAAGCATTAAAGAAAAAAAAAAAAAGACCAAGAGGAACATCGTAACTTTTTTTTTCTCTTCTAGCTGCACATCAAAAGCAGTGAACAAAACTTGTTAAAGTAGGTCGTAATTTTTTTTCCCCGGGAGAAAGACCCCTCTGTGGTGGCCGCGAGGCCCCGCAGAGACTCTCAGGGTTACCGCTTTAACCCCCCGGGGCAGGGACGCTGACGAAGGCCGTCCAGGGCTGGCTGCGTCCCGGCACCGGAGAAAAATGACTCGGAAAGATTGCACTGGTGAAAGTGTTTGATGTAGTACCGGCCTTCTTCAGCATGCGTGCAGAGATACATCCCTCTCTTACGATGAAAAATTCCTATAGTAAAGCCTCTAATTATTCAATTTAAATTAAATCTTAAGTGAAAGGTTGAATCATAAAGTCACAAACCAATTAACCTTGAAACCATTTAAATTTTCACATCTATTTTACACCAACATTTCATGAGCGAGCGTTGCTTGACCAGGCTTTCGCCAATAAGGGGTAGTTTCGGCAGAGAAGGCCGGGTTAGAGTTTCTAGCCAAGTGTTTTACAGAGAAACTTCTACACTGAGTTACTCTTTCTCAAGATAAAGCTGAACTCTGAACCTACATAGCATATCCGGGAAGCGGTTAATTCTGTGTGTACGTGGGGGAAGGGGGGTGATTTATCCGAAGGGCTCGTAAGACATTACTGATGAAATATAAACTCTGATTCTTAAATATTTTTGACATAAAATCTCCGATAAACAGATCTTAAAAAAACATAATCTCTCTACTCAAGGTCTATTTTTAATCATTGCAAGTCTCAACAAGCAGGGTATTTTTAAACTAGGAAGCTGGAAAAAATTTATTTTTAAACTGTCCTCTGTGAGTTTATTTTCCTCATAGCGGCTCCTCTTGGGTTTTGTGGCTTTGGGGGGTTTTTACAGGTTCCTATGGAAGGAGACAGCGAGGGAGGACGGTGAGAAATCACAGAATGGCGAGTCTTTACGTTCACACACGTGCGCTTGGTCAACTCTTCGATGCGGAGGCCCCTGGGAGGGTGCAGCGTGGAGGTGGGTAGAAAACTGCAACATCACCCCGGGGCTGCCCGGGAGGCAGCAGCCCGTTTCCATGGCAACGGCTCAGAGTCCCAACATTTTACAGGGAGCGGTAAGGGGCAGGAGGAGGCTCAGAAACAATTTGTCAGATTGACAACAGCAATGACTTGGCATCAATGAACTGCCAGGACGTAGAGCTCTAAGGCGGTTTACACGGAAGTGTTTCACAAGAAGTGAATGCTAACAGAGGAAGATTTCAGACAATAGTTCTAAAGCAGGCTACTGCTTCTGTTTTACCAGCTGAAAGCATTTATATCTACATTTTAAGTGCTATGTGTGCATTGGTGTTACAGTAAAAAGGCTCCAAGAGTTCAGAGTTAAGATGCAGCCCTTAAGCATGAAATAAAGACAAGGCAGCTTCATGAATAGAAAGACTCACAGATGCTTTTCAAAGGGCTTCTAAACATGAAATTCGCACTCTTTTAAAAAAATTGTTGGTGTTTTATTTTGAGCTCTTGTTTTCCAATAGCACCATGTACTCAGAGGAGGCCGAGGGGAGAGCCGGACAACGTGCTCGCTCCGATTAAGGCGGCAAACACGGGGCCCGCCCGTCAGGCTTTCCCCTGCATTTCAGAGCCTCCGACTTGGCGATGCACCGAAAAGGTCTGACTTAGCGCCGTTCACTTTCCGCTGGGGGGCAACAGGCAACGAAGTAAGATAAAACAACTCGTAATAGCACAGAAGTAAGTATGTGGTAGAGTTAACGAAACAGTGTAACGCGGGTTAGGACGTTGAACAGTGCGAGGAGGGTTCAGGCCCCGACCCGAGAGAAATCAAGAGCGGCTGGAATGTTCTAGAGAACGGTGAGCAACGACATTATGTATCGTGTGCTTCAGTTCAGAGGCCGGAGAGACCCAGGCAACAGTGTGAAGACAAATTCAACACGTGGTTATTGGACACGAGGCATAACGGAGAGAACACGCTCGTGTTTGTGATACTGATATTTGCTCGGGGTGGGCTGCCTTCGGGCAGCGATTGGACCGCGACGTTAACATTGCACTTCACGCCACAGATATTGCTGACCCACGGGAACGGGGGTGGGAAACCCGTTTCCCCCCGCATGCCAGCACGGGTCTGTCGGCGAGCGCTCCTGGGGCCGCGCGCCGAGGAGGAGACCGCGACTGGGTCAGAGAGATTCTTCCTCTGAACTCTAATCGAGTCTCGGCCTCTCACTGCCGCGGCTTCCGTCTCCGTGCGGCATGGCTTTGCTTTTCCTCACATACTGTTAGGGGCTAAACTGTGTTCTCTCAAGACTCACATGTTCGAGTCTGCACCCCCAGTAGCTCTAAATGTGACTGTGTGTGTAGATAAGCTTTTAAAAGAGGTAACGAAGTTAACTTAGGGAAGAGGACAGCCCATGAGAAGAAGGAGAGAGGACAGTCGCCTACAAGCTGAGGGCACAGTCTCGGGGGGGGAAGAAAAACAATCCTGTTGACACTTGGCTCTCAGGCTTCTCGCCTTCGGCATGGAGGACAATTACAGTTACGTTTTTGCCCAGCCTGTGGTGCTCTGTCATGGCAGCCACGGCCGACAGGGAAATAGAGCGAACCTCTCGGAAAGAACAACTATACCTTTCTATAAAATAAAAACTTATTCTATAATTCTAAATAATGCAAAAAATTACAGGCCGATTCTGGGAAAGAGAAGACACTTGGAAGAAAAGACCAGGAGAGCAAGTTTCTATCTCCCTATCTCCCTCCCTTCCTCATCTGTGCCTCTATCTGCCCTGCGTTACACTGCGGAGCGGCAGAGTCTCTGAAGGATCGAAGGGATCCTGGTCCGCAACAGCAGATGGTGGCATTTACGGCCTCTGGAGCTAACGGACAGTGGGGAGCGACTTCCAGAATTCCTTCCGGGCGCCCACGTTCCGCGCAGATCCCTACACCAGGTGGGGCGGGGCAGGCTGCCAGCTCAACGGCCTCTGGGGAGGAACTGACCCAAGATTTTAAGTAAAGTGGCCTCAACTTTAAAAAAAGAAAACGCTTGAGATGATCCTCACATCTAGAGTCTCCACAACATCAGTTTTACAATATCCAGGCTATGATGCCGGAAATGCGAGCCACTCTCAAAGGACAGCCCGCCAGCGAGCGCTGACTCTGGGGCGACTCAGAGCCTACGAGCCACAGCAAGGGCTCGAGGGGAGCTCTCACAACTGCGCTCAGGAAGACGAAGAACACGACGGGACAGCAAACCAACAGAAACTACAGAGAAAAGCAAGGGGGAAATCTAGAACCGAACATAAACTATCTAAAATTTAAAAGTATTTCGATGGGAAAGAGCAGAAGGTATTCAGTAACTGTTGGCTGCAAAGAATTACTGAATGAACCTCAGGGAATAATGGGAATAACAGAGGAAACATAAGTCGACTTGAAGATAGAGCGATAAAAATTAGGCCACCTGAGGAAAGAAGTAAAAAAATACTGAACTAAATTAACAGGGCCTCAAATATCTGTGGAACAAGAGGTATCACTGGAGTCTCATGAGAATGAGGAAAAAAGAATGAGTTGGAAAAAAATATTTGAAGAAATAATTAGCCTAAATTTTCCCCAAATTGTTGAAGAAAATAAATTTATAGAGTCAAGAAGCTCAGAAAACACCCAACAGGATAAACATGAAGAAAACAAAATGCTAAAAGACATAATAGTAAGATTTATGAAAAACCTACAAATGAAGGAAAACGTCTTAAAAGTAGCCTAAGAAAAAATGGCATATCACATAGAGGGAAATGACAATTAAAATCAACGTTGTCTTTTCGTCAGAAATTATAAAGTCCAGAAGACAATATTTTAAATGGCTAAAAAAGAAAAGAAAAAAGCTGTCAACCCAGAATTCTCTACCCAGCAAAAACATTCTTCAAGAATAAAGGTGAATCGGAGACATTTTCAGATAAAAGAAAACTAAGAAATGTGTTGCTTAAAGACAATTCTCCTAGTCCAAAGGAAACAATAACAGAGGAAAACTCAGATTGTCCAGAACAAACAAAAAACATAAGTAAAGGCAAACACTCAGATAAACACAGAATTTGAAGGGCACCTTTTGTATGTATAAATACATATATAATCCAATACTATATTAAGTCCATTAATGTAGAAAAACATATATAATCCAATGTTGTAAATATTAAGCCCATTGAGCAGATGAGAACACCAAAGCTCAGAGATCTGTGGGACTCTCTAAAGTACACTACTTATAAACGACAGAACCAGAACGCTCAGTCTGAAAATTCTAAAATGCATTAGTTTTTTTCATTTTGCCAAAGGAAATGTGTCCATTTTAACAGACACCAAAACCATTGCCAAGTATGAAACCACTGATCCCTTTTCAGCGTACTTCAGAGCTACGAACCTGACAAATAAGTATAAATCAAGCGATAAACACCACTCACTCGCAGTTGAGTAGAAAATGCCCGTGACTACGTCCGGGCTAGGAGCTCACGGCACCGCGGGTGCACCTCGCGTCCGGCAACACCCACCTCTTTCTGACGGTACTTGATGGCCAGTTTCAGTCGTGCAAGGTCATTTCCACTCTGCTCTTCTATGAGGCTGTGGTCGTCGCGGTAGTTCAGGATGATCTCCAGCTCCCTCGAGCTCCGGGTCTGGTCCAGGAGGTCCTTCGCAAACTGCTTGCACTGGTGCGACAGCTCCTCGTACTCGGACTTGAACTCGTTCTCCACCTTGCTCAGCTCCTGGAGCTCCCAGCTCAGCTGGAAGGCCGTGAGGAAGGGGTCCTCGCTGGACAGGGCAATGAGGGAGGGGCTGGCCAGCGCCTTGTAGATGTTGAGCCTGGAGCGCGAGTGGCGAAGGCTGTCCACGTCTGAGCTGGACACGCACTCCACGCAGTTGCAGCGGACCTCGTGCGGCCTGGGCACCGACACTCCTTTCTGCACGAGGAGTTTTATGATCTCGTAGTTGTTTGTGTGGGCTGCCAGGATGATCGGCGTGATGTCCGGCGTGAACTCAGAGAACTGTTTGTCAAGGAGGATGGGCGGCACCTGGGGAGAGAGGGACGCAGAGGCTGTGAGCACCCTTGTTCAAGCCTCGGACGGCACGCTAGAGCGGCGGCCGGCAGGTTCACGGGGCTTTTGCCCGTTTTACGCAGCAGATAGATGGCTCTTTGTCCCCAAAAGGCAAAAAGAAATTACAGAAAAAATACCTTTCCAATATAATGACACATTATTCTTTCTTTAGTCTGCATTGCAATGTTTTATGAAGCCTTCAAACAAGTGGCCAGGGAAGCTCTCTATTTGATCACAGCCTGTCTTGCTTGCAACTTATTTTCTGGCTGTCAATCTTCGATTTCCTTTCCCAGAGACCTGACTCCCGAAATAAGGAAGAAATACCTTGTAAAACCGTTATTGATTTATTTTAACACCAAGCTCTCCTCTGAGGGGGGGGAGGTTTTTCAATTCTCAGTGTTTTTTTAAAATCTGTGTTGCATCTTCCGCCCCCGTCCCGGCCACCCGGCGGCAAAGGCGGTGGCGGAGCCCAACAGAGCCGCCCGCCCGCCCGCTGCTCCTCGGTGGCCTGTTTTCCAGGGGACAAGAGGTGCTAATAGCATTGTTTTATTAGAAATAAGCAAATGGTCCCCGTGAATCAGGTCGCGGGTGTGTGTATCCGTAACTTCCTGTGGGTTATGCTCTCGGGACGGCAGCCATGAAAGTGACCGGAGGCGCTCTCCCCCGGCACCCGCCCCCGACGCAGGTGGGCGGCCCCTCTCGGAGCCCGGCCGCGCCCCGCGCCCTGCACCGCCGCCCCGCCGCTGGGACTGGCGTCCCGGCCTGCTGGCGAACAGTGGCAGTGGCTTCTAGGAAAGCCAGCTCCAGAGGAAAAAGGCAGGCAGGCCCGGCAGGAAAAATAACGATGTGTCGCATCGCGTCGCACGAGAATAGGCTGCTGGTAAAATGTGAAGGAGACTACAATGGGGCCCAAGGGAAACCACCAGGCAGAGGAAGCCGGTGCTGCTGTGCGACTTCCAGGGCACGGCCCTTGGGGAGAGGCCGGCTCCCCGGGGCAGCAGCTGAGCCTGGGGGCTCCCGAGGTGGCGGCCGCCCGCGCGGCCGCCATCGGACGCCAGGTGCCGAGGAGAAGGGCCAAACGGTCTGACGTGCGTGCCATCCGCTGTCAAAAACAAGAGTGACAGCCACAATTTTTAAAATGTGCAAATAAATTCCTATAATAACAGTGTATTTCCGTGACAGATACAATTTAATAGGGTTTTCTGGATTCAGTATAATGTCATCATTGGGTTCTGTACTTTTAAAATGTGCTAACAACTTATTAGCCATAAGATGCAATTTTGAATAATTTCTCAGTAAGCTATATGAAAATAAAGCTTATGACCATATCGAAACACACACTTTTTCAGAATAAGTCAGTGTCATAATACTAGAGATATGGTTAAATAATTGATAAAAATCTATGATAATACACCAACATTAAATATTCTATTTATGCTTCTTAGTGACACATAAATCATTGTGAAGTTATAATTTTTAATAGATGAACATTTCTCATTTTATTTTTTATAAGAACCTTAATTTTTTTTAAAGAACTGTTAAATGAAACTATTTAAACGACCACAAATATACTTAATAACATTTTGTGGTCAATAAATAATTATTTTTTATTCTACTGATTTTACCTCATATATATATATATATGAAAAAAGTATAACCTCTATTCAATTGAAAAAAGTGGTTTGTTTATAAACTGGCACTAAAACAATTTTCTATCCCAACAAGCTAAACAAAATTAGCTCCTATCGTATTTCACAGTAATAAATTTCAGATGGAATCAATATTTACATGCAAAAAGAAAAAGCAACGCAGTGTAGAAACACATTTAAAAAATCGCTGCGTGGAGCCAGGGTTGGGGAGGACTCCACGCAAGCTTGAAAACAGAATGGAAAACTACGTATTTCCTCACAAAATTCTTAAGCGGAATATCCAAAGATGACAGAAAGTCATGAGATAAACTACAGTAAAACACATCCACAACATGCAAGACATTCCTCGCGCCCACAGCACACGGAGAACGTAGGAGCCGAAAAGAAAACCACGAACAGCCCAGCGGACAAACGGACAGTGACACAAACAAGCGTTTCTCAGCAGGAAATTAAAAAGCCAGGGACAGCGCACGATTTTTCTCATTCATAACGGGGGGCGGGGGGCAATTAAAGCAGCAACGGGCGACGCTGTTTCTGTCGCCCCGCCGCCGGCGGGAGCCGCCGAGGCAGGCGCCTGGGGCCCCGGGACACGGCCGAGCCGGGCAGGGTCCGCGCTCCCTGCGACCCCCTCCTCCCGAGCGCGGGCGCCCTGAGAGGCGCCCCGCGTCCTGACTGCCCTCATCGTCCTTCTCGTAGAAACGTGCGTGTCGGCGGGACACGGTTTACACGAGAGCCGTCGCGTGAACGGTGGCCCGTCGCCGCGAGGACGTAGGGCGAGGCCCCGAGCCGGGACGGGCCGGCCGCCGCCCGGGGCAGCCTGGGGACGCGCCCCCGCGGCCCTCCTGTCCGGCTGCAGCGCTGCCGTCCGGCCTTCACGCGCAGGCCCCTCACGCGCGGTTCTTTAACTCGGGCGAGGGACCCGCTCCAGGACCAGGCACTGCCCTTGGGCCACCCAGTGGTCCCTTGGCATTAGCTGCTCTCTTTGGTAAGCGCAGGCGCCTGCGGCCAGGCCCCAGCCCGGTGCGAAGCCACCCGCGCGCCCCCGCGCCGTGCACCCCGGGGCCGGCCACCCGGGGCGGGGGGGCCTTCCGTGCAGCTTCCCCTCCGCGGCCCGTCCCCGCTCCCCCAGCCAGTTCGCCACGCGCTCAGGACCCCACGCCGACCTTCCCGTGTCCACGCGGCCCTTCACAACGCCAAGGCATTAAGCTGCGCGGTTCTCTTCAAACGGAGGTGGGGTAAAACGCAGGCCTTGTTATTATTTTTCACGCAAGAAGAGAGAAATACCCATTCCCCTTCCCAGAAAAAGAGTTTGTGAGACAAGTGAGGAAGGAGAGTGCGTATTGCACAGTTCCCGACTCTGTTATTTCCTTCAAGACCTTTCATACAAAATCCTTACACTTTTACTCAAACGTGGGTCAGTGATACATCCCATACAAATACGAATCATAGACCAGTAATTTCCAGCTTTTTAAAAGTTAACCGTTTTAAACGGCGTTCGCGCCATAATGTCTTGCAATCCTACTTAAAGTCGCTCTGAATTAAACAAGGCGGCACGCGGACACGGTCTGTCCTGATGTGGACCAGTGTCGGGAGGCTCGCAGTGCACACAATTCCCTGACGGCTAAGAAGGCAAATTTATTTCCGTCCCGTGACTCCCACGTGACCCAGACACCCAAGGACCTGGCAAACATCAGCTCCTCGCGGACCATGTCAGCACCGGTAGGCTCCGGTTCTGACCACAGGGACGGAAGCGGTAACGAAGGGTGTGCGGCCCTCGGCCGTGGGCCGTGCCCGAGCCAGGGGCTTGGAACGCCTTATTCTCCCTCAGGCGCGTCTCCGCTAACCCTCAGAATCGGTTTGGGACGTGGCTGTTATTATCTTCCCTTTTTCGCAAGCGAGGAGAACGCACCCTGGACCCCCGGCATCGCTGGTCCGTGGTCCCAGAGAGATGCCGCAGCTTGATGCCCGTCCAAATCCTGCATTAATAGGCTATGTCTCATTGGAAACCACTTGGCATGAGCGTAAGAAGACACGCGTTAAATCCTGCCCAAGCCGTCTTCTATTTGGGTGAAAATGACAAAGCCTGTTCATTTTCCTGCTTTTCCATTTTCCCCCTTGGAAACGTGGGCGTTTCTTCGAGGTGCTTTTCAGTGTGGGATAAGCACTGGAGAAATGCCCGCCTGAGGCTTCTCAAGGGTAATTCCCCCAGGGATCTGCAGATCCGGTGTGAACGCGCGTTGTAATCTTTAAATAACAGAATCACAGGACGGTACGAGCGTCGGGGGGCGAGCCTGAGCAGGCAGCAGGAAGAGCAGAAAACTGACCTCTTCGGTTATTCCAGTTTGCCGCCGTCCTGTGTTCCTTCTCACGCAGACACTGCCTCAAGGATGGCGCTTGCCTCGCCGGGAAGGGGCAACAGGACTGTCCTGGCGGCCCAGTTTTGCGAGGGTGGGTGTCAAGCGTTTGGACAGGCCCCTTTCCTCACTGACCCTTTAAGCCGCCCGCGTGTTCTGCGGGCTGCTGCAGCACGCACACCTCCAGCAACAGCCATCATTTCAGCAGCGGTCGCCTCTTGGATAAAGCCCTGGAAACACCCGTCTCGGGGTCTCCGGAGACACCGAACCAGCAGCCGCTTGGACCTGCCAGCCGCTCGGGCCGGGTTTCCTCCCCAGAGGCGGCTCAGGGTCGGTTGTCTTCCCTGATGGGGTTCGCGGATATCCCTTTTACTTGAAAAAAGAAGCCGGCGCTCTTTGTATCTGTTCCACGGAAGGAAAATCTCTTCAATGGTATCTAAGTGAAATCTTTTCTTGTTGGAACAGAGCTCATGAGCCAGGCTCATGGGTAAGTTTGTAAGGCTTCCGTGTTGATTCTGAATGATGATTCTGCTTGTAACTGGACCGGTCGCTGTTGACCTTTGTCCCCCTTTTAGAAGGCACGGCCCCACAGCGGCGTGACTCTGCGCTGCGGCGGGCAGCGCGCGGGCTCGGATGCCAGCATCTCCCCAACACAGGAAGCTCTGGGAAGGTTCTCTGCGTCCCGCCCCAAACTACAGTCGCCTCGTCCGTAAAAGGGAGACAAGGACAGCCGTCACTTCCTAGGGCGCTTTCAGGGACAGAAAGCAATGATGAATGTAGGCACCGCGCACCTGCCTGCCGGGACACGCTCTCTTCCGGTTACGGCCATTGCCGGCCGCACGATCACCGCCGTTTCCCCTGCTCCTCTCCCTCGCCCTCCCTCCCCGCGGCTGCTTCTCCTGCTCACTCCTGCCTTCAACGCTGTTCCCTCTCGGGGATCAAACTCAAGCCCAGGGTCCCCTTATTCCACGTG